TGTATTAAACCAGCAGATACTGCAGCCAGCCAGCACACACAACAGAAATACCTGCAAGATTTATCAGTGAAAGCTTGAGAACAGGATAGGATCCCAACGAAGTTTCAAGCGCAGTGAAGTAGAGAGCTGAAGAAAATAATCTTGTAATATCTTGAATTTCTGCAGTTTTCAATTTCAGTTGATTACTAAGGCAACTTTCTCAAGAACCACTTGAATCTTGAAGTTTTTTAAGATTTGCATAGAAGTTTTCAAGCACCAAATTTTAACTGACTAGAATGGAAAGTGATTGAGGATAAGATGTTCTCCTTGGAGGCAGTCCCTGTATAGTTGTTAACAGAAAAGACCTTTCAGCTAATGAGAAACCTCATAAATGATAAATTAAGTTAATTTGCCTTCTACATATCATTTAACTTCACTTGATGGACATTCTTGGTTTATTTTAGAGGAGATTATTTGATTAGTACTTCAAAGGGGGTTGTCCAAAAGTCATTTCTAGATCTAATAAAGTTTGCAAAATTCTTGTGGTAGCTCCAACAACTGTCAACCACCAGTCCACCAAATAATCCAGAGAGAAGAAATTCATACAGGGAAAGAAGCAAGCAATGGATATACAGGGAACAGCAAAAAAATGGATTAAGTTCCCAAATTTCATTTCCAATCAAGAAAAGAGAGGTGAGAGAAGAAACTGACCAAGAAATAAGGCAAAAAGATGATTCTTTGAGACCATCTCCAACCCATCTCTATTTTACTCTCCATTCTCTATATTTGGAGAGTAAAATAGAGAATGGGTTCTCCAACCACTCTCTATTTCATTCTCTATTCTTCAATTATAGAGAGGTGAATAGTAGTTCTCCAAATTTTGGAGAACTACTATTCACCTCTCTATAATTGAAGAATAGAGAATGAAATAGAGAGTGGTTGGAGAACCCATTCTCTATTTTACTCTCCAAATATAGAGAATGGAGAGTAAAATAGAGATGGGTTGGAGATGGTCTCAAAGAATCATCTTTTTGCCTTATTTCTTGGTCAGTTTCTTCTCTCACCTCTCTTTTCTTGATTGGAAATGAAATTTGGGAACTTAATCCATTTTTTTGCTGTTCCCTGTATATCCATTGCTTGCTTCTTTCCCTGTATGAATTTCTTCTCTCTGGATTATTTGGTGGACTGGTGGTTGACAGTTGTTGGAGCTACCACAAGAATTTTGCAAACTTTATTAGATCTAGAAATGACTTTTGGGCAACCCCCTTGAAGTACTAATCAAATAATCTCCTGTAAAATAAAACAAGAATGTGCATCAAGTGAAGTTAAATGATAGGTAGAAGGCAAATTAACTTAATTTATCATTTATGAGGTTTCTCATTAGCTGAAAGGTCTTTTCTGTTAACAACTATACAGGGACTGCCTCCAAGGAGAACATCTTATCCTCAATCACTTTCCATTCTAGTCAGTTAAAATTTGGTGCTTGAAAACTTCTATGCAAATCTTAAAAAACTTCAAGATTCAAGTGGTTCTTGAGAAAGTTGCCTTAGTAATCAACTGAAATTGAAAACTGCAGAAATTCAAGATATTACAAGATTATTTTCTTCAGCTCTCTACTTCACTGCGCTTGAAACTTCGTTGGGATCCTATCCTGTTCTCAAGCTTTCACTGATAAATCTTGCAGGTATTTCTGTTGGTGTGCTGGCTGGTTGCAGTATCTGCTGGTTTAATACAGTATGCTGTTCTCCTTTGTCTAAATTTGTGAGACTTGCTCCCAGGAATCAAAAGATAAAGCACATATGATGCATTTAGAAAGAAAAAAGAAACAACTAAAATGGGAGTAACGAGCTTTCTCTTTAAATCATCATTTGCAATAGCATGTTGCTCCATAAGGCTGCTAGAGTTTTCTCTAGTCCCTAAGAATGAGAGTAGGAACATTCTGAAAAACTATTCAAGGCTGATTAGGTCTGCCTGAAAAATGTCTTAAACAATATGGATTTCTTCAGTGCAGAATACTATCGACAGGTTCTACAGACAAAAGATGAAGAAGCATTAGAAGAAGGTGAAGCTTCAGGATTTCAAATAACAAAAGTATGATTATTTTCTTATATGGACATGTTAACAGGCATGTGATTGTCAACATATTGCTGAATTCCATACTTAGGACACAACCAGAAGATAAAGACATGTTAACAGGCATGTGATTGTCAACGTAATTGCTAAATTCCATATTTAGGATACAACCAGAAGATAACCATAGAGTCACAATTCAGGCAATACAAACACAAAACAAATACTAGAAAGTTGACTCTTTTAAAGCAAAACGAGACTGCATTCACCTGAGATAGGTTAATAGAACTACAGATGTATCTTGCAGAAAATAAAACTGACTAAATACGGTTCCAAATACTTGTCATTAAACTACAACTTCCAACAGTAAGAAGATCGAGTACTTTTAACCAAGTAGTATTGGGTTGTCACTGTTTGCACCCTCCTCATCTTCAGGGTTCAATTCAGCTGGGAAATCACCTCTGAGAATCTGAACTCTGAAATGGATTTTGCTAGCGCTGCACTCTAACAGTTCAAACACAAGTCCATCCCCCTCCTTCAGATTATTATCATCCACAAATTTTCTCCACTCAATGCTAAATTTGTGACCAGATTTGACTCCACCGTAAAACATATCCCACTTCTTCTGACCACAAGTAAGGACTGCACTGACTGCACGAGCTCCAGCAGAAGGAAGCTCACTGGTCATTTTCTTGGGTAAATACTGTCAAACATTCAAAGAAATTTAGTAATATAAAAGCCACAAGAACCCAAAAATGGAACCTTATGTCTGAGTATAACTATATATATTTATTTATTTTTACATTTTTCATAGTTTATTTTTAACCCTTCTTTAGGAGCTCCCACTTTTTCCTCCGCCATATCTAATCTTGAATTCACCACAAAAAATCTTCTCTTTTGGTGGCTACCCACCTGTTATCAATACCCACATTGGGTTCCAACTAAATTTGAGTCCTCACCAGAAAATTCCATAACAAAGTCGACTCAGTACCCTACAAAGAATCATCTTTAAACAGATACTAACAAAGGGGCGCGAGGAAGGGGAAAAAACGGGAGTTACCATACTGTAGATGGGCTTGACACCGGTCTTTGTGAGAATCAAATCAACATAGGGTTTCCCAGAAAGTGGCCAGTATTCACCATTGTCGATTTCTGGAATTCCAGAGCTTTCAATCTCGGGTTGTTTCATGGTGGAGTAACTATGTTTGTGGTTTGAAACACGTTCAAAAGATGATCTGCTCTGAAAAAATCAAGAGAACCATGCAAGCTTTAAAATCTACAGGGCTGTCGAAATTCGAAATAAAGAAAAAAACATCAGAAAGCTTTGTTACAGAATGATGAGAATGTACATCCATAGTCGATTGATCAGATGATTGGAGTTCTTGTTCTGGCGAACCCGTTTACAGAAAGGGTTTTGGGTTTGGGTTTTCAAAAAAAAAGAAAAAGATTTTGCCATGTATCTTGTATACCTATTGAAATCCGATTAAATTTGACTTTGCTAGAAATGACCGAACACTAAAAAATAAGATTCCGGAACCTCTCTTTCCTGTGCTATCAAGAATAAGGAATAGCCAGCAAGGTCTTCTTCCTTATTATACGCGCGTGCAAGAGATTCTGTTTAGTGTAAGGTGCAAGGCGAAAGTCATAAATGAAATAGAACTCCCTGTCTCATTCCCGGCTAACCGTGAACAGAGTGAAGGGTGGGCCAAGAGCTTTTTATAAGGGGTCTTTTTGTCAACAATATTCCCCGGGATCTCTAAGAGGATACTATTCATTTCTTCTTCACACGACTGTTCGCTTTGGAGACTAAACAATGTAAATAATACGTAACAGTAACCCAAGTAATGATAATAAGAAAGACTAGGGAGTGTGTTGCAACCCGATTCAAACCAAAAGAAGTACCTCACCTCACTTACGAAGAAGTTGTTGGAGAATTCACGTTAAATATTTTAAATTGAGGAGTAATACGCTACTTAACAATTGAAATTCGACTAATTTAAATTTTACAAGTCGTGAAATTTTAAAAAGAAATAATCAAATTCTTATATTATCTTACGAAATTGGCAAACTATAATTCATAAAAAAAAATATCAAAATATGTTGTGACTATATTATACCCAATATTTTACGCGAAGAAGAGGATATGTGTTATAAGGCTTAAGCTTGCTGATTAATTGTGGATGTGTTGTTTTATTGTTAATTATGTTACATAATTAAATGCAAAGTCCTAAAAAATAATTTAAAAATAAGAAAGAATTGATTGAATGCAAAGTCCTAAATTGATTAACGTGAAAGATAAATAGTGATTACATAATAGACTAATGTTTTAAAATGCCCTGATCTAAGGATGAGAGATTAGATTAAAATAATAATAATTCTATCAATGAAAATAATAACTTATAATAACTCTATCGGAAAAAAAGCTTTACAATAATTATACTCTATTCATATATTTCTCATGTAAATTATCTATTCGACTACAAATAACTGCACAATTGCACTACATTTTCTTTCTCATTCTTCTTATTAAGAGTATTCATGCTTTTAATATAATTAATTTATGTGAACATGAGTTGCACGTTAATATCGAGTCAATTAGTCAGTAAAAATTATCTATAAGGTATCAGAGTTATAATTAGATATCAATTTAAAGTATAATTTTGAAATTAATATAATTTGATATTTCAGCTTCGATTTAAATGTTACAAGCAATTTAATTGCACTCATATCAAAATGGATGAAAACATCATCATTGGAGTTTCAGAGAGATAGAATCAAATATGAGCCAATAGATAAACCACATAAATGAGAAAACAATATCAATAAAATGAGACATACATCATACATGAAATTACTAGTGTTGATAAAGGTTTTTTTTTTTGGAAATTGAAACTACAAAAACTGATAGATGTTTTTTTTTTTGAATTAAAACTACTGAAATTGATAAGTTTTTAACCAAGTATTATTGGGTTGTCACTGTTTATACCCTCCACATCTTCAGGAATCAATTCAGCTGGAAAATCACCTCTGAGAATCTGAACTCTGAATTCAATCTTGCTAGTGCTACACTGTGATAGTTCAAACACAAGTCCATCCCCTTCCTTCAAATTGTTATCATCCACAAATTTTCTCCATCCAGTACTAATAAATTTACAAGTAGATCTGGCTCCACCGTAAAACAAATTCCACTTCTTTCGACCACAAGTAAGAACTACAGGAACTCCAGCAGAAGGAAGCTCTTTGTTCATTTTCTTGGGTAAGTACTATCAAACATTTAAAGAAATTCAGTAATATAAAAATCACAAGTCCAGAAGAACACAAAGCTTCCAACAATATATATATATTAAAACCTAAACTTTAAGCCTAAAACCTATGACATCTAATCTTAAAATTCAACACTGTAAATACCTTTTTTTTGTGCTTTTTCACTTGGTATTTGGTACCGAGGAAATGAGATATCTATAACTTAGAATTTTATTATTTACAAAAATTAACTTTTGAATCTTTTATGTTTAAAAAATAAAGATCTCTTATGTATAAAATTGAGAATCTCTCGTAAAAAAGTCATACAATTAATTTTTTTTGTAAAGGGCTAGAAAATCATTTCTCTATTCAATACCCATATTCCCAATAAATTGGATCCACTTCAAAAAGTCCCACAATGGTGTAAAAAGTTTCCAAAGACAACATACTCATTACGAGAACTCTGATTAAGGATGATCATCACTACTACAAAGAATCATCTTTAAGTAAATACTGAAAATAGAATGCTTTATATAGAATGTGGAGGGGAAAATGAGAGTTACCAAACTGTAGGTAGGTTTGACGGCGCTCTTAGTGAGAATTATATCAACGTAGGGTTTTCCAGAAAGTGGCCAATATTCATCATTATCAATTTCCGAGCTACCAATGCTTTCCATCATGATGGATTTACCTTTCTGGTTTGAAACACATTAAAAAATCAAAGAAGAATATAAGTTTTTAAATTAACATGGGGTGTCAAAAATCAGAATAAAGAAAAACAGAAAAAGAGAAATTTGTTAAGAATGATTGGAATGTACATTCATGTCGATTGATTAGATGATTGGAGTTCTTGTTATGGTTTGATTCTGTGTACAAAGAGTACATAAAAATCCTAGAACTGTCAAGAGTGGCTAGTTTGAGTTTTGGGAATAGGGGGTAAGGTTCCTAGTGTTTTTGAAAAACAATTCAAGTACTTTTTTTTTGTTAAACACCTATTCCTATTTACTTCTTTATATAATAAGTATTATGCATCGTTACATATAGAGGTGGTCGCATTACTACTAGCACAAGATTATTCTAGCCTAAAGAATTATAGACTCAAATTATATAACGACTTATTAAAACTGGTAAAAGTAATTATTTCTTTGTCTTTTTTAAAGTCTTAACATAAATAACGTGGGCTTTTGTTTGTTTGCTTTTGGAGTTTTACACAAATAACGTGAGATATTTGCTTGTTTACACAGTTTTTAACACAAATAACATGAACTTTACTTGTTTTTGAGTTTTTAACACAAATAATATGGGTCTCTTGAGTTTCAAACACTAATAACGTGAGGTCTCTTTGACTGCTTTTGATGTTTTAACACAAATAACGTGGGGTCCATGTCTTCTTCTGAAGTTCTTAACTCAAATAACGTGACTCTTTGCTTGCTTTTGAAGATTTTAATACAATTAATGTGGAGTGTGTTGCAACCCGATTTCGAAAACTAAGGCTTCGAAACCATTTCGCAAATTTTGGCAAATTTTTGTTAAGTTTTGGAAAAATGAGTAATTTGAAAGTCGCCACTTAATTTTTAGGAAAAATTAAGAAAACCAAATAAAAAGGAAATTTTTAAAAGAAAAACATTTTAAATAAACCAGAGTCGGGTAAGGGTTCAAATAATTCTCTAAGGAAGGGTTTATGCATCTTAGAGAATCCGCTAACACGCGGTTGACCGACGGATTGAAAAGTTTGGCTAATTTAAGATTACCTGTAAAAAATCTTGTTTTAAAATAACCAAAGTCTTTTGATACTTATACTAGTCTAATCTTATTTCTTATTCCAAGTAATGAAATAAGTCAAATGCTAAAGTGTCAAAACAATAATTTTAACTTAACATTTTATCCGAGTTAAGATTTTGAACTAAATGGTTAGCTTAATCTCATCAACGTGGATTCAAAGCTAATTACTAAATATGAATAATTCTCAAGTTAGTCTAAGAGCTTAAGTTGCCTAACTTGAAAGAGTTTTGAAAATTTAAATACTTAAAGTAAACAACTAACCAAATAGAAGAGTTATTTAAAAACTTCCAAGGATTCATCTAAGTTGGATAAAATAAATGTTAGAAGTTAAAAACAAATATCACAAAATCACAATATGATAGAAGACAAAGTGCTAATAGAATTGGGACAACTTTAAGTCCACTTGCTGCATCTCATTTTTCTGCCTTTTGAGGCTGCTGCTGCTGGCGCTTTCCGAACTTTTTAAGTCCGAAAAAATGCTATTTTCAGCCCTTTGAAACTGCTGCAACTCGGCCTCATTAATTATGGGTTTTAACCCAATTTTGCTCCTCATTTTTCAGCCTTTTGAGGCTGCTTCTGCTGCTGTTTTTAGTGGACTTTTGAGATTCCAAAATTTGAATTTCAGCCCTTCAGGACTGTTATTACTCCTCTACTGAGCTGCTGCCAGGTTTGAAATTTAATCCAATAATATTGGCTTCCCTTTTACGACTTGGAAGAAGACCCTAAGAGATGAATATGCAAGAGATGATGGAGTCCAATGGACTCAAATGGGAGAGAGTTCATGCGAATGAAAACAAAGGATAAGAATTAGTAACTAATCGAAAAGGGGTACAACAATTAAAAATATAACTCAAGTCTATCCAATACAAGAGAAAGCCAACAGAAACAGAGAAGGCAATTAATTTCCAATCATAACATATTTTTTTCACATTCAAACTAAGAAAAGACACAAACATAACTTTTAGTCACGGATTTAAGAAAAACAGAAAATCAGCAAGTAGACAAGGAATGGGACAATTTAACAATTCGCCATAAATTTTAAAATTTACAACAGCAAACAGAGAAACAAAAGATTAAGTCAAAAAATTTAGTAAACACAAGAGACCTTTGGCCAGGTAAATACGCTCCTGGAAACAATAAAACTGTTGGAAGGAAAAAGTAATATGAATTCTTAGACATAAGAACAACTATAAATCATTTCTAGTTCTTAAGAAAACTACAGGTAGCTATTACGACAGGTTACGAACGAAAGCATACAGAAAATCGAGAACTCATATTCCAAATTCATAAACAGGCGACTAGATGCAGGAAAAAGGAACCAAGAATTCAATGGTAATAATCAAATTTCACACATAACAGAACATACTTCAGAAAATTATACACTTAAATCAAATGACTATATGACCCAGCTATATCTATTTTATTTGTAAGTAACAAACAGGTCCATACTCGAGAGAAAGAAAGGAAAAGAGCTTCAACTCGAGCTAGAATAACTTTTAATCACAAGAACGACAGTCAACTGCACCAAAACTGAGATTCGAACAAACATGCTACGATTATAAAGAAAAGCTAGCCGGAGTAACAATAATTTGGTTGTTTCAAACTATACAAGAATTTAGCCGAAAACACATTTTAGGAGCAGCGAAGCTTAACGTAACATTTTAGTCCAAACAAACTCGAAGTGACAGAATATACAACTTATATCTTTAAGAAGGCAACGAAGAGAAATCGGCAACTATATTAACATGGATTTCAAAGTCGAATAAGAATAACAATAACTAAAGCACATATATAGATATGTGATTTCGACTAAGTAAAAGAATCACATTCACATCTCTAAATTAACAGCCATCAACAGAGCAACAAACTTAATACACTCATTCAAAATTGACTTAACTAAGTGAACAAGATCATGAAAACTTTTACTGTCATTCACATAAACATCACATTAAACACCTTGAATCTAAAAGATAATTAACAATACTAAAACAAACAACAATTCCACAATGCAACAGAAAGAAAAGACTAAAGAAAGAGCAAGAAGATTACCTGGTTCTAGGCAGCGAACCGGACAACGAGTTTGACAGAGACGATTCCCACCTCTTCAACTCGAACAACCACAAAAATTTTAAACCATTGAGTTGAGAATTCCCAAACTTTTTAGGGGTACTCTCAGGTCTCAAAAATGCCTCCCCTTGAACAGTGAGCAAAAAAGGGTATTTATAGGGCGACTTCTGGGTCGAATTTGAGGGGGAAAACGATGTGGGAGCACTCACAATTCAAAATTCTTAGCGGATAGGGTTGAGGGAGCTGGAATTTGTATGAATTGTACCATCTTTGAACGAAAATTGGCAAAAGGAAAGGGAAAATAAGAGGATAATGTCGTTGGGAACGTTATGGAAACCGCCAGCTGTCCTCAAGCTCGTGTTAAGCACGCTTAAACGTACTAATTCGAAGGAGAGAAGAGTAAATTGAGGCTGGGCTTGCTTCGTTCTTTGCTTGTTGTTGCTATGTGCGTATGTGAGGGAGAAGAGTATAGAGTACTGGGTATTAGGAGAAGAAGTGGGTTGGGTTATTTTTTAAAATTGGGCTTAAACTTGTAGGAAATTAAAAAGGCTGAAGGGACTTGATCCATTGGTTTATTTTTATCAAATTCAAATTGACCTCAATTAATTCAAACTTGATAAAATGGAAATGAGACAAATTATAAACTCAACTAATTACTCAAACTTTTTAATTTCAACAATACAAAATAATTATTTTGAAAAGAAAGATCTTTATTAAATCGGGATTGGTTTTAAAGGAAATAATATGCGTACTTACTTAAAACTCTATTTTTGGTAAAACAATTTACTAACTATTTATTCAAATTGAAAGAATTATATAAATCTATATATTTTAAGTATATAGAGATATATTTTATAGTAAAAATGGAAAATTAATTAAATTGTGGAGGGTCAAAATTGGGTGTCAACAGCTGCCCCTTGTTTGACTAGGATGGATGAAATCGATCCGAGGCAAATGAAACTGACTAATCCAATTTTGTTCGTCCACTAATTCATCTCTTTGGAATGGTTAGATGGTAAGAAGTCTGAGGAATTATGGCCGAACTCTGGTATTGAGTTTCCTACTTATCTCAGGTTACATCAGAACTCAGACCACTAGTAGTTCGAAAGACGTTTGATCTAACGCACAATTTTGAAAGAATGCAAAAGCTATTTCGGTGTCGAAGTATGGAGAGACCGAAAAGCATGAGAACAGAGTGATGACAGAGTCGTTGGAGTACAGTTGAGTTTTCAACATTAAGTCCGCCTACATATCCCTAAACTTTGGGAATCAGACTGCTTGTAGTTCGACTCAATCGGTTGAAAAATAAATCTCTTATATGGACATAACTTCCAAAGCTCTAGGGGTATTGTCACTCGAATTTGAAAATTTGCCTTCGGTGAGAGTTTGAAAATTTCACCAAATGTGAAACTGAAACTATTAAACCTAAGAAAATACCCACACGCCTTAGGATAGGGATGTGGTTTGATTGTGGTGGAAGTCGCTCCTTAACTCGTGTCCTAAGAGTTTGATATTCCTCTATGTTAGAATTGTTGAGAATTGGATAATGGTGATTATGGCTTTGGAGAATGGTAAGTTGACCTACTTTCATGCTATATTGAAATTGTTCTTGTTTGGATTGATCCACTTATGGTGGAGGTGTGTACTTATGGGATGTATTATGATTGAGGCCATGAAGGGCATTATATGAGTGTTATTGTATTGTTATATTATTATATATGAATGAGGCTATATGTGAAGGTATGATGTGAATGAGTTTTATGTGAAGCTATATGTGAAGGTATGATGTGAATGAGTTTTATGTGAAGCTATATGTGAAGGAATGATGTGAATGAGTTTTATGTGA